GGCCCCGGCCCCGGCCGAGTCGTGCGGGGCAGGGTCGGCCCGTCGACGTGCGGAGGCCGCTCCAGGGCGCGGCCGCTGCCGCCCGCCCTCCCTCCTGGGCATCCGTGCCGCCCGTGTCGGGACCTGCTGGAGGGTTTTGCGGGCCCCGGTGCCCTGGGTGCTGAGCTGCGCTGGGAGGTCACGGGCGGCTTTGGTCTGCGCTCGTTGGTTGATGTGTGAGGTTCATGTGCTTGTGTCGGTGCTGTTGGCGTCTGTCTCGCTTTCTGTCCGTAGCGAGGAGAAGCTTTTCACCTGCAGAAAACTCCTTTCCAGCAAAGAGAACGTTAATCAAACTGTTAACGCTGGAGCGTGTCCAGGGAAGGGCAGGCCCTAGAGCCCACGTCTCCTGAGGAGCAGCTGAGGGAAGAGGGGTTGTTTGGCCTGGAGGACAGGAGGCTGAGGGGAGACCTCAGCTCTCTCTGCAGCTCCCTGGAAGGAGGGTGCAGTGAGGCAGGTTTTGGTCTCTGCTGCCCAGTCACGAGCGTTAGGACAGGAGGAAATGGCCTCAACTTACACCAGGGGAGAATTAGGTTGGCTATGAGGAAGAAATTCTTTAGTAAAAGAAGTCCAGGCAGTCAAGGTCTCCTGTTCTCAGTATTGCTCATGCAGGTATCACAGTATTGCATGTTACCTGGAGCTGCCCTGCACAGCTGCATTAATGAGGACAAGGTGATCAAATCAGCTGTTTGGCCTCAGTTGCTCCATTGCTGTCTCCAGCATCAGCAGTACTAGCTCAGACACTAGGCTTGCATAGAAGGGCTAGTTAGCAGGATCTAAAAAAACCACTTATTTCTTCATTGCCCCTGGGAATATTTGTTTCTGGGCAACAGGCTGTTGAGAAATAATTTCAGATTCTCACTGAATATTATATTGGAAGTCTCAATTTTTTAACTGCAAACTGACAAAGAAGCATAAGATACTTTCCAGTGCAGTTTTGTCAGTATATCAATAAAACTTCATCATTCAGGTACTTGATACGTGTGACCATGTAATACAAAGACAAATTTATCCAAGAGCTTCCTCTCCCGTGCAGTGGTATCTGATTCTGATCCTCTCTGAATATCTCTGCTTTTTGTGACTTTCTGAGGGTACTGTTCCATGAGGACTTGCTTCCAAGTCAGTGCTGCTTTTAAAGTGGGAGCATGATGGGAGGTTTGCACATGTGAAAATACGGTTGTCTGTTGACATCCAGGTTAACAAAATGACCCTATGCAAGCAGGCGCAGAAACCAGTCAGAAAGCAAGTCTTCACAGTACTTATGCTCCTTTTCCCTTATTTCATTGTGTGTGTATTTTTGTGCTTCTGTCCTCCCCCACAGGCAGAGCTGGGCCTTAACGAGCACCACCAGAATGAAGTGGTCAGCTACATGCGCTTTGCTCGTTTCAAGCGGGGCCTGTGTCTCAAAACAGTGGATTCTTGTTTTCAGGACCTTAAGGACAGCAGGTACCAGGGGAGGGGGGTGGTGGTTCCAAGCAAGAATGAAGCAAAACACTTCAGCAACAGCTGCAGGTTTAAATGTTTTAGGGTGTATCTTTTCTCCATTTACATTTGTACATTCTTAGTGAGGAAGAAAGACCCAGTCATTTTCCAAAGGTTACAGGTCAAGTCCTTTGAAAGCTAAGTTGTCCAAACTCTTAGGGATTAAGATAGGCATTACACCTTTATAATTACCTCTGCTGTCCACACTGCACGTGATAGTGTGGCAGAAGTCCCACTGGTGTTGGTGATGTTTCCAAGAGAAAGTTTAACTACCAGGAGCGATTAGTGGTGCCATGACCACCTAATAACGACCGAGAGGGAATGTTTTCAGAAGGACGCTGCATTTTATAAGAGCAATAGCTGTGTGGTGAGGCCTCATAACAATGCAAAGTGGTGACCTTTGCCAGTTGTGACTCCTCTTGGCTGCTTTGCTCAGGCTCGTTGAGGAGACCTTCACAGTTGATGAGGTGACGGACATGCTGGATGGGCTGCGGACCATTGTGCACAGCGAAGTGGAGTCGGAGTTCATCAACACAGCTTACACCAACGTGCTGCTTCTGCGGCAGCTCTTCTCACAGGCTGAGAAATGGTACCTCAAGTTACAGACGGACATCTCCGAGCTGGAGAATCGGTAACACACCTTGGGCTGTACAGAGTGTCTGTCAGTTATGAGAAAGATGGTTTGTGTTCTTCTCCTAACCACAGAAACCTGTCCTCTTACTGTTGCAGTAATGATAGGTTGTTTTCGAGTCTTGCATCTGTAAAGTAACATGGTACAGAATAATTTCACATCTGTCAAGAAGATGTTTATATTGGTAATATTTATTGGCACTGGAACAGGCTTCCCAAGGAGGTTGTGGAATCTCCTTCTCTGGAGATACTCAAGATCTGTCTGGATGCAGTCCTGAGTAATGTGCTCTAGGCATTCTTGTCTAGTTCTGTTGGATTATCTCTAGAGGTCCCTTCCAGCTCTGAGAATTCCATTATTCCATGATATTCTTAATTGAATTAATCATTTAAGAGCAGATGAGAGGATTTGATTAAAAAGTCTTTCTGGTCTGAATAGATGTTATTTGACTCAAGCATGCTACATCATACAGTTGTAATGCATATACCATGCCATTGCAGGGCATGCTCTGTTGCATTTATTGTATTTGCATAGAACTTGATTCTGTACTCTTGCATGCAGTGAAGAGCATAGCATCAGCCTGGTAAAAAGTGTTTCATAGCATAGCTCTTTTAATAGTAATGTGATATAAATGCCTCCCTTTATTTTTCTTTTCAAGAGAACTGTTGGAACAAGTTGCCGAGTTTGAAAAGTCAGAATTTACATCTTCAAACAAGAAGGTAGGGTTTTCTTTTAATCAGATCACAATCAAATGTCATGTGGAGTCGAGACATCTTTAAAATATTTAGTACTGACTGTGTTTAAGAGAGAAAAGCAAAGAAACAAGCAAAAAACAAACCAAAACCCCCCTGCCCTTTTGAAAAATATATTTGAAAATTACTACTCCAAAAAGGAGCATTTTGCAGTTTGGCACCAAGGCTTACACTGAATTGCAGTGACTGTTTCCAGATTGTGGATTCTGCACACCCTGGATGTGTCTCATAATCCTCATCCCAAAGTTAGCCTCACCAGGGATGTGTTGGAAGGTCTACTCCTGGGTTCCTTTTCCTCTAGAAATCGGGGTAGGTCTGGGAGATTCGCTTGTCCCAAGGCTTTGACCCAAAGTCCAGAGCTGAGAAGATTCCACAACACAGATACAACTCTGGCTTATCTTGTATGATTGTGGTTGCACCTGATTTCATTTGTAGCCTGAGCATGTATTTAGTTAATATATTTTTGATTGGAATACTTAAAAGAAGAAAGTGATTTTGAGTTGCGTAAATATTTTTTCCACTTGGAATCACTCACATTTTTTCTATTTCCTGTACTTTTTTTTAAATTTTCGTTGCTGCAGCATTGATGGTCTTTTGTAAATTCAAATTTGCAATCCTTTTATGTCTCTATGCAGTGTATTTGGTTAACTTTAGCTGGAAGTGAATGATATAACTTAGAAGCCAAGGTATCAGTAAAAATGAACTGGAAATAAAGGGCCATTCTGAATTGAGTGTCAATTGTTATTTTACAGACTAAAGGAATACCTTTCTTCCTTCTAAAAATCTGTATAATTAAATTTTTTAACCTTTATTGTTTATTTAGCCCAGTACAGATCTCATGAAACCAAAACTGGCTCCGTTAAATGAAGGTGGGTCAGAGCTGCTCACCAAGGTAAGAACTTGTCTGTTTGTGCCGATGTGATTAATGACCATTCTGCTTATTCAGCTGAACTGGAGAGCTGTACAGTAATATATGTATATAATGTGCCTGTCATTATGTAGACATCAAGGTAGTGTGCCCCACAATGTGAAGTGAAATGCTAACAAGTTAATAAATATTGAAAAGCATCTTAAATTTATTGTGCTGTTCTGGTTTCTAGTGTGTATTGCAATAGTGAACACTTTTTGGCCTTTGTAATTATTTATTATTCCATGTAATGAGATAAATTAGTAGAAAAGAGTATTTAGTATGTTCCATGTAGTTGGCTGGTTTTCTAATGAGGAAATAAATTAAATTATGTAGCTGGCTGAAATTATTAGGTTACTGGCCATTTTCTGTATCACTCAGAGGCAATCCTGTTACAGTTCAGTCTTTGTTTTTGTTAATTGGTTAAAGTCCTCCTAAATAAACAGGCACTTCAAAAAGTTGGAATTTACTGGTTTTGAAAATGTCTGATTTTTTCATTTGCTACAGATTTTCAGAATTACAAAGCACATTCTAGTAGTTAATGTTACTGATAATTTTTATTAGCTATTGAACTCATTTAGTTCAACTGCACTTTTAAAAAAAGCCACACTTCTTACAATGTGTTTTTATGTTCTGGGCAGTCAAGAAATCTAGCAAGGAGTGGTGTTCTGTCTTCTAACCTCCATTACCAAAATGGTCCATCAAGATAGCTGAAGCATTCAAGAATTCAGACATATTTTACTTGTAGATCGATGTAATTGTCTTTCAGAAGTAATCTCAAAATCTTTTTCTACGCCCTCCCTGGAAGTGTTCAAGGCTAGGCTGGATGGGCCTTTGAGCAACTTAATCTAGTGCAAGGGGATTGGAACAAGATGATCTTAAAGGTCCTTCCCAACCCAAGCCACTCTATGAGTCTGTGATTCATAACAGTGTTTTATTGAATATGTGCATCTCTTGCCTTTTTTATTTATTTTTTTCCTCAAAAATATTTCAGAGTTCATCTGGTGAATTTATTCTGATATAAAACATGATTCCTTCCTGTGACACTGAATGTTTTATGCAGTTATCTGGTGTTTGTCTCTTAAACAAAAGCTATGAATAAATTCTTATTTGCCTGTCGATTGAAAAGACAAATGATGGGCAGCAGTGAGATTTGCCTTTCTGAACATGCAATTTTCTTTATCTGGAATCCTGGTGCTAACAAGATCTGAGCTCACTAATCTCTATTCAGTAAAGCATGTGCCAAACTTAAATGAACCATCCTATATATTACAGTAGAATTGGAAACTTTAATTTCTTACTGACTCAGGCAGGAAACAATAAATAAACAAATTGCTGATTTCTTAGAAAGGCCATTTTCATAGTCATTTAGAAGCTTGTTTGCTTTCCTAAGCTATGGAGTGTGTTTGCTTACTTGAAATATTTGGAAAATTCAAAGTAGCACAAGAGTGTTCACAAACTTCTTCTTTGTTAACCCAAAGACAGTTGCCTGTCTTCAAGAAGAGAATGAAAAATTGAAGGTCAGACTCAAGACCATAGAAACACAGGTAAATTCCCTGTAAGCTTGGATACTTAGTGCTGTTTACATATTTTTAAAAGTGTGTGTGTATATAGATAGATAGATAGATATAAGTATCCTATGGTTATTATTCTTATCAAATTTAAATATGTTTCTGAGGTTTTACACTTTCAATGTATCACAGGCTACAGCTGCCCTAGATGAAAAGTCCAAACTAGAGAAGTCACTGAGGGATTTACAGATGATCCAAGGAGATCAAAAGGTAAATATAATTGATTCCCCCCCACCCCCCAAATCTGTTTAACACCACTGTTGCCTGTATGTCTAAAAAGTTGGTCTGTATGGTGTGTTTCATTTCTGGCAAATGCAAAAGTTCAAGTTAGTATCATCATGTTCCCTCTGACATTGTTCCTGCTGGTCTGTCAGCAGATAATCCAGAACATTAGCTGATTTTATGATATGAATTTTGTGTCACTTAAGCCATGATAAATTATTATCAGAAAGTATTATTCCAAATATTATCAGAAAGTAATATTCCAGAGTTCATCTTTTCAGAGGTGATATTTGTATTAACAGCTGAAAATCTATTTATGTTTGTTTCTTCCCATTTACTAATGAAAGAATGCTTTCTAACCTGGTTTTTATAGCAACAATAAAACACTAATTCTTTCAAGCATTTGTCACACTTGATATTGACACGAACAAGCCCGACTTGCTCCTTCTCCAGACTTTAAAAACCTAAAATACTTACATTTAATTGTTCTATATTCGTAAGCATCAATTTAAGTTTTGCAACAAATGTCAGTGATAAAGGATCACATGACATATTTTATATTTTTATGTAGTTCTACTCATACGAGCCTACTGTCAAAAATTATTTACTGTTTATTTTTACTACTTGAGGTTCTTAATCGTTTTTTTAAAACAAGGATTCAAACATGATTAAGTTGCTGCTGCGGAGAAAAAAAAACCTGAGAAGGTATAAATCGTGCAGGTTGACACAGATAAGTCTGTTATGGTCACCTTAGTATTTTTTTTTTAAATTGTACCCTTATTTTGTCAATAATCAGAATTTCCTGAAGTTTTTGTCTTGTGTGATTTGTTTCTTAAATTGAAAATGTTTCAGTTCAAACTTTTAACAAGATGAGAACACTGCATTATTTTAAGACACCAACTTTTTAGTTTCTGCAGTATTTACAAGTTTGGAAGTGAAGCTCAATATCATAAAATATTTCCATATATTTTAATTTTCATATTTTAATCCTGATTTCTTTTTATTTTGCTTTCTAACTGGTTTATGGTATGTACTCAGCTTTCTTCATATGTTTTAATTTTATTTAGTGACTTTCAGAATCTATTCAACAGTATTATTTAATGTGGTACTTGAATTATCAGTCATGGCAAATATTTTTTTTATCTGTTTTGTTAAGCCTTACATTATTAAAGGTTTAAAATATTAAACGTGTTTATTAAATCCTGGATAATAGTGTTTGTAGTTTAAAAGACTGGAGCCAAATCTCCTAATTTTCTGGTTAAACATGAATGGACCTCAATGTCAGGGCTGCTAAGTATCTTCAGCTTTCATGTCCTAATTTGCTCTCTATAATCTGTCAGTTTCTTCTGCAGCTTTTACATTTTCTGTTAACAGACATATATATGTTGTTGAAACTAGCTGGTAGATATAGAACTGAAATGCACTACTTTATTTATTCACTTAATGTATTAGTTGTTTGGAAAAAATGCCAAATTTTATCTGGTTTCACTCCGTATTTTAATGAGTGCCAGTAACGTCATATGAATGCAATTCCTAATTAAAGGAATAGTTTTCAAATTCTTTGGACAAATGACTTCCCAATCACAATGGTTCTTCAAGGATCAACTCTTATCGCAGCAGGTTTCTACCTTATTTTTTAAAGTAGTTTAATATGGTTCCACACACTAAGTGTGAATCCTGGTTTGGGAGTGACTGCTTGTTGGGTCACTTTAGCTTTGAGGATTTAGAGTTTTGTACACAATTGATTTATACTACAGTTTAGATCACTGTTCTGATCTGAAACAAATAATGTAATGTGGTGCCTTTCAGCATCGCAGCCTTGACTTCTGTCTCAAAATTCAAAATAAGCTTTTTTTCGTACAGGTACTGTTACCAAGTGGTTTCCTATGAATGTGGTGCCTTTCAGCATCGCAGCCTTGACCTCTGTCTCAAATCTTACCTTTCACATAGAAAAAGGAGCAGAGCTTCCTTAGTATTAGATTTTTGTTGTTTTTAAAGTGCTTCTGGTTCAGCCTCATCCTGAGTCATTATACTTTTGAGAGGTTGAAGTCGAGCTTTTAAACCTGAAACGGTTTTTTAAAAACGGAAATCCTTAGAACAGATTCAGGAATATGATGTTTTGTGACCCAGGACTGATGGTCCAGAAGAGTTTGGGTTGTTTATTCTCACATGGAAATAGGGAAGTTGCTTCACAAGCAACTGTAAAAGCTCTTTTTGAAAGGTCTCTGAGAACAGTGCAATATCAATGCCTGTTAATATAAGCCTTAACGCTTTTATCCTTTCCTACCCTGTGTTACACTAATGGTTTTTTTTTTAAATGCCTGTGCTATTTTAGCTGCTTTAGAAGTACATTATAGCATAGACATTCAGGCTTTAATTTACTATTTCTGTATGCTCAATAGCTCCTTGTGATATGCTTCATCCTGTGACTTTACCTGATTTTTAAAGAAGTACAAGAATTTGAAATCTCAACTTGGCAGAGAAGCCATTCCAGCCATCTCTAAAATGCATTTATTAACAATTTTTAAAATTGTACTTTTAAAGTTGGTGCTTTAACTTAAAAATTACTTCTAATTTAGACTTTATGGGAATAGCACAAGCAGAACTATTAAAAAATAAGGTATTCCCACTTTAACTGGAATTTGGCACTTGACATTTAAAATATTTCTTCTCTTGCATTTGACATATCTTAAACATTTCTTCTTTTGAAGGCTGATGCAAACCAGGATATCACCGAGCTGGAGAATAAAGTGGCAGCTTTGAAATCCCAGTTTGAGAAGACTCTGAATGACTCTACTGCAAACCAGAAATTCTTGGAAGAGAACTTGATGACAACAAAGCATGACTTGCTTAGGGTTCAGGATCAGCTGTCCACAGCTGAAAAGGTTAGCATGTTATTGTTAGGTAAAGGTGACATCCTTACTCACGTTTTCACTGCTTAGTAATTTAAAAGGCAAACGCTACAGGATGCGGGACTTACTGATCACAATTTTGCCAGTGTGGTTTTGTTATTCAGTGGAAAAACACATTGTACATAACACAGCAAAACCACAACTAATAGTGTGAATATAACTAGGTAACTTCAAAATTGCACGTTTGTCTGCATAGAAGTTTTTGAATGAAAAGTGTATACACAGTCTTCAGAAGACTTTTATCCTGCTTTCATTAGAAAATATAGCTTGTGTTTCTCTGCCTTTCTCAGTAATATTTGAATCTGCTAGCTGACTTACCTACATTTAAACAAGTTAGAGAAGCTGTTATTCTGAAACTTGAGGAGGAAAAGCAAGTGATCTTTTTAAAGAGGCATATTTAGCCTAGTCTTTACAATATGTAAATAATATGTTGGTGTTGTTATTACTTAGGAATTGGAGAAGAAGTTTCAGCAAACAGCTGCCTATCGCAACATGAAGGAGATTCTCACTAAGAAGAACGAACAGATAAAGGATCTACGTAAGAAGCTTTCCAAGTAAGTGGTGCTCTTCTCTCTGTCCAAATTGGATCCATATTCTGGATCCGTGTTCTACTCCCATTTTGGTTTTATAACTGTGAAGCTTCCTATGTAATATTGGAATATGCACTCTTTTTAAGGGAAAATGTATAGTCTACTTTGAAATTTCTAGTTGGCTGTTGCCTGATTTTTGACAAGCCAATCCTTCTAGTGGATGCCAGGTGAATAGGACTGATGTGTGTAACAGCAGCTACTCTCAGTGATGAAATAATTTAGTATGGAGAGAATACAAAATATTAATGGATGTAGTAGGTAACCCCCCAGGTGCTACACACAGAGATACAGATTGCAGATATACCAGATGCTTCAGCATTATCTTATTTCTTCCATGCTTGTTTATGAGAATGAGAAGTCCACGGAACGCAAGCAGGGTTAGGCCTGTGTTGAGGAAAGAAAAATGCACCCTGGCCATTCTATTGCGTAGAAGACTCTCATTCTGCAAATGCTAAGGGAGCTTTGGCAACATGGGTTGCCTTACACCTAAGTTGGAAGAGGACTGAGGTGGAACTTAAAACTTCTCTTTAAGCTCCTACCTGTATTTTGTGATTTGTGGTTAGGTTCCTGCTCATTCCCTCATCTACTGTTTGATAAACTGGCCAATTTTAAATGGAGATAATAGTCTAAAAAGTATAAACCTTTGTCTGTGCCCTAGGTCGTACGCTGAGCTTTGACAGGAATGTGTCACTAGCAGCAGCAATTTGTTGCTTGGGTTTCATGTTTTCTTTAGAGAAAAAATGTCTCATATTTTTTACTCTTGTTCTAATTATTATATTTGTGTTTATCTTTTTTACTCCTCAGATATGAGCCAGAGGACTAAAACACCAGGAATATCTGATCTATCAGAGGCTGCCGTAGATAAAAAAATGTAGACTGATACTATTTTTTGAAAATCTTTGTTTTGAATAGTATAATTTTTGCTTCTAGTGCTTAAAAAACTTTTTATAAATACTGATAAGATGCTGAAACTCCTATCTTACTCCTTATAAACCTACAGTTTATAGGTATTCATTACTGTAGTCATGTCTTTAGTTGTTAACCATTGATATTCCTTGAGAAATAGCAAGCAAGCTTATTGAAGAACTGAAACCATTCTCTGCAAATAAAGGAGTTTATTTTTGTAAAGAAAAGAAAAAAAGACAAAAAATAAACATCAGAGGTTTTTTTGATGTCTTTGAAGTGGAAACTCCCGTTGTTACTTTTGTATAGTTAATGTAGCCATGGAGTGGCATTGTATGTGGAAATTGCATCAGTAGGAGGAAAAAAATAAATGTGCTGGTTCTGAAATATTATTTGATACTGGACATCTCATACCTCAGCAAAACGTGATCTATAACATTTTGCTTGAGGGTGTTCATTAGATAGTAAGGTAAATATGCTTTGTAGCAGAAGTGCTGGACCCTTTCAAATAAAGCCACCAATCAGAGTTATAGTTTTTCACTTGAATTTGTTTAAAACAAATTTGAACACCAGAATACAGTACTTGCCAGTACTCTTAGCTTCAAGTTTATAATCTGAAAAAGCACGGGAAAGTTGCTAATGGAGCAGCTTTCTTGGGAAGTAAGTTATCTTTAGATATTTTCATCTTTCCCTATTGTAACCTCACCAGAGAACCTCTTCCTTCTCCCAACTCTTGCTTGTGCTCCTTTGTCTTGCGTTTATCTGGAAGCCTCTTAGTACTGTATTCTACTTGTTCATCTGTCCCTGTTTGTATGTATGTTGTATTTATTCCAAATAAACCATTCTGTTTTCAAACACTTTATCTTTAAGAAGCTGGTTTTTTAATAGGAATATTTTGTATAGCTTTTTTTTTTTTTTTTTTTAATATCTGTAGAAATCAGACCAGTAGAGAATCTTGCTAGGAATGCAAACATGTAAGTTACAGATTGGTGCCCAAAGGCACACCACGTCAAACAGTTGTTTGGCTGTACACAGCCATTTGTACACACAAGTGTACCAGTGGCAGGGCTGGGAAAGGGCTGGCGTGGATGTGTGGATGTTACAGAAACTGGCATTTCAGTGTTTGTCTCAGCAGCTGCTTGAACTGAAATGGATCGTTTTTTTCTCATTCTTTCTTAGATGGGCAAAGCTGTTAAAATTCCTCAAGCAGTGATGCTCCGTTCAAACCTGCCATACTTTTGCAGTCTATAAATTCTTTTGTTTTCCTTTTTCCCCCACTGGTTAAGCAAGGTTGTCTGAGATAAAAGTCCTGTGTCTGTAGCATGATATTATTGCTGTAGTGTGATAGGGCTTCATGGGCATATTCCTCATGCAGTGTCAGGTAAATTAATGAAAGGTATTATTTTGCTCCTTGTACAGTCACTAAAATGTTATGTTCTTAATAGGAATGTGCCAAAGAGCTTTCTGGCCTGTGCTTCCTCAAATCAGTTATGCTGAAACCAACAGGTGTACTTGTCTGGGTGAATATTGTGTCTGTTTTTGTAATGACACTGCTTTTAATGAGCTTAATTATTGTTTCTAAAATGTTAAGCAAAGGGTGAAGAAAGGCATGATTTACCCATCAAAGAGGACATGGAGAATTAGACAGTAGCTATTCTCTTTTTCTTGAGATAGGTGAAGTACTCTGAAGATGAAGGGGACAGCTGAACCTCACCTGATTGTGTCAGATGTTTCTAAAACTTCACTTCTTTCCTTGAACTGTAAATTCTAGTTCTGCTTTTACCAGCCTTTGTTTTTCAGAAGTCCATTATACTGATCAAATGGACATAATCTGTTGTGTGTTGTTTGTTGGTTGTGTTGGTTTTTTTTTCATTTCAGCTGTTAATTGCTTAGTTATGCCTGAAAGGAATGTTTAAAAAGAAAATGTCTCCCTAACTGGTTGATCTGCAGGAAGCAAATCTCTTTCCAGCTGGGTGGGGTTTTTTTGCTCACAAACTGAAGTGTATTTTCTATGGGAATGAAATCCAGGCAGCTCAGTTTAGCTAGTATTGATTCTGACAGCTAACAAACAACCCTGTGCTGTAATGGTAACTTGAGTTCAGCAGTTGGTCATTAACAAATGACCCAGCAGTTCTGCCTGCTACCTTCTTAACGAGACAGTGTGTTACCTGATGTTCTTTAGCTGCTCATAAAGTACTTCTTATTCGTTTTTTCTCCTGTGGATAGTAGCTTTGCTTTTTTTAATGTTCTAGGATGAGTATTAATGTATACCACTTAAACTTGCAAGTACTCCTCTTTACTTGATAGACCAGTGTAAAAAAAGTGGCAATTTGGACATTTCCCACATACTTTACTTTTGGGAAATCCAAAGTGCCAGGCACTTAGATTTCAGTTTAGCTAGAAAGTTCTTTAGATTTCTCAGTCAGACTTCCCCCTTCTGACATAATCAAGGAGTGCTCTTGGCTTCTCTCTGATACCTCATGCTGTCAGACCACAGTCGAATGGTTCTTACTCCCTCAGGAAACAAACATGAATCATCTTGTGATGTCACATGGCCAAATGGATCAAGCTGAAGTCTGAGCTGCTCTAGGAGGCCAGGCATTTTAGAACACATTGCAAAACAATGTTATTTGATGATAAGTTTGTATGTCAGCAGGTAAGAATTACCATTATTATTATTATAATAAATGTTTCTAACTAGTTTTGATCAGAGAATGTGCCCACTGGAATTACCCTGTGAATGTGAAAACATTGGCCCAGGATTCCTGGTCTGCTCTGACCACCTACAGAACTCTCCCTGAAGGTGCCTAGATACCCTGAAACATTAAGCAGCCTGTTTGGAGTCAACTCTTCTCCTAATAAAGGTGGGTTGGTACATGTAATTCTGTTTCAGCAGTCTTAATATCTAGAGGCTTTAAATTTATTTTTTTTTAATTACTCTTTTTAGGAACCTGTTAATGTAGTGCCTTGGAGTGTCTTTTGTAAGCAATGGTGATGAGGAGTGGTTGGTGCAGGACGCTGACAGGGCTGCTCAAGACTGGCAGCTGCTGGTGAGCAAGAGAGCTGCCCGGAGACCTCCCGGACCTGCAGGCAAGCTTTGACTGAGAGAAAGTGAGAGCTGGAAGAAGACAAGCAAAATAACTGAATAGGCCCGATATCCTTTTGATTTTAGTGAGGTCCCAGTTTGTGGCTCTTTGTTTTACACAGGCAGGTTCTGAAATCTGGGTGAATTCTGTGAATCGGAACTGTGTTGAGTGCAACTTGGAGGTACAACTCTGTAAAACCCCACAGTTAGAAGATTGGTAGAGCTGTGGTGATAAAGAAAAGAAAGGAAAATAAAGGAGATACTCTTCTCAGACATCCGTTCTCAGGGATAAGGCCTTCTTAAAGATGTTTTATATTCTTGATCTCTGGAGACTGAAGTAGTGCGAAACAGTTTTAACAGTGATTAAGGGGCTGGATGTGACTTCAGAGTACAGACCACAAAGGCATTATCTACAGTTTGGAACCCAGAAACAAGCAGTAGTGGTGAGCTGGAAGGAATAATTGGAATCCTAATAACTTCTCAGAGAAGCAACAGCGATTTCCAGTTACAGGTAGAACAATCATACAACAGTTGTCAAAGACCTGGAAATCCAGCTCGATTTTTTAATTTCTCCTAAATTAAAGAAACATGGAGCTTAGCACAGCAATTCTGGACAATGAATCCAAGCAGAAAAAACACGTGTGGGCTGCAACTCTCTTGGCTGTATATCTTCTTCCTGTGATACCATCACTAAACATTTGCAGAGGTTGTAGAGGCTCTTCCATAGCTTCCCTTTGATACACCTCTAATATACTAACAGCCAGCACTTTTCCATTGGGATGGAAATGCCTCCAGCAATGGAAAATACTAAGTGCCAGAGCTAGCTCCCACTGATGCTTTGATCCCCTCCTATATGTCTGGCTCACCAAGGCAAGTGCAGAAAGTTTATTTTTAAAGCTAGGGGTTATAGTCATGCACTTGGATCACAACAGCCCCATATGACATTACAGGCTTAGTGGCTGGAAAGCTGCCCAGCAGAAAAGGACCTGGGCCTGCTGGTTGAGAGCTGGCTGAATATGAGCCAGCAGTGTGCTCAGGTGGCCAAGAAGGCCAACAGCATCCTGGCCTGCGTCAGGAATAGTGTGGCTAGCAGGGGTAGGGAGGTGGTGGTGCCCCTGTTCTCAGCATTGGTGAGGCTGCACCTCGAGCACTGTGTGCACTTCTGGGCCACTCACTGCAGGAGGGATGTTGAGGTGCTGGAGCATGTCCAGAAAAGCAGCTGGTGCAGGGTCTAGGGAGCAAGTCCTATGATGTGGTGCTTAGGGACATGGTGTAATGGTGGACTTGGCAGTGTGCTAGGTTAATGGTTGGACTCAATGATCTTCCAACCTGAATGATTCTATGATGCTGTGTTAGATGTAGCATAATCAAGTCCAGGCTACCTGGTGGAATTATTCCTTCTTCCCTTGTTTCTGTCTCTTTTGGCAATAGATCTGTTAAGCTTCTCTCCTACCCTCAAATCATGGTCCCCAACCTGTTGCTAGGACTCCAGACTGCCTTTCTGCTTGTGTTTTAAGTAGCTGGGAGAAACACTTGGCTTCTTATTGTGCTGGTGTCAAAAGACACAAGCCCACGATTTTTGGTTGGTTCCTTCACCCAAGTTCTTCCAGTTTTGCTTCAGTGAGAAATGGGATTCTCTGTTGTGTTTACCAGCTTCTCGTTACATTTACATAGGGCAGTTCTCATGCTGTCCCACTGGTCCCTGACCTGCTGTGAAGATGAACCTCTACCCTTTCACACCCACTTTTCCAAAACCCCACACTCTCACATTTGTTAAGTACTGGGGAAAATAATTACCTTCTAATCCTTCTTTGTCATGACCAGTGAAATGATCA